GCAGCACGGGCGGGGGCACGGGTCAGGGGGGGGGCTCCTGCATGGGCCCCCTCACGCAGGTGGCAGCCGCGTCCCCTCTCTTGCCCATCAGCTGCCCGAGGAGCACCCCGCCCCAGTGGTCAAAGGTCAGAGAAGTTCCGACATGCCAGCCTCGGGGCCAGGACGGCGGTGCCAGCTCTCCACCCACTGGGGTAACCTTGATCCCAGGCCTCAGCCTCTCAGCTGGGAAGCAGCTTGGGGCCCGGACGCTCACTGGGGTGCGCCCCACAAATGTCATCACCGTGTCCCTGGGGTCACCTCAGAGGGAGCCCCGGCCACGGGGTCCCCTCACAGGGACCGGCTCCTCGGCACTGGGGGCCTCGATGTGTGGGCCCGGCTGGCTCCTCCTCTTTACACTGCAGGGGACCTTCTTCCCTCCTTCCTTTCCACGCGGCCCCTCCCAGCCCGTTCTGCTGAACCCTAATGCACCCCTAATGCTGAAACCCTAACTAAACCCTAATGCACCCCTAAGGCTGAAACCCTAACTAAACCCTAATGCACCCCTAATGCATCCCTAAGGCTGAAACCCTAGTGCACCCCTAATTCAGCCCTAATGCTAAAACCCTAAATGCTGGAACCTCACACTTTGCTCTGCCGGATTCTCACCACGGTTCCCCCAGCAACTAGCTCAACGTGCAGGACACAGGATGTGCCCCACAGATACCGGATGACTGACTGAGTGAATGACAGTGAGTGGATGGGTGGATGGATGGATGGGTGGATGGGTGTGGATCCTGGGGTCACCTCAGAGGGAGCCCCGGCCACGGGGTCCCCTCACAGGGACCGGCTCCTCGGCACTGGGGGCCTCGATGTGTGGGCCCGGCTGGCTCCTCCTCTTTACACTGCAGGGGACCTTCTTCCCTCCTTCCTTTCCACGCGGCCCCTCCCAGCCCGTTCTGCTGAACCCTAATGCACCCCTAATGCTGAAACCCTAACTAAACCCTAATGCACCCCTAAGGCTGAAACCCTAACTAAACCCTAATGCACCCCTAAGGCTGAAACCCTAACTAAACCCTAATGCACCCCTAAGGCTGAAACCCTAACTAAACCCTAATGCACCCCTAAGGCTGAAACCCTAACTAAACCCTAATGCACCCCTAAGGCTGAAACCCTAACTAAACCCTAATGCACCCCTAAGGCTGAAACCCTAACTAAACCCTAATGCACCCCTAATGCATCCCTAAGGCTGAAACCCTAGTGCACCCCTAATTCAGCCCTAATGCTAAAACCCTAAATGCTGGAACCTCACACTTTGCTCTGCCGGATTCTCACCACGGTTCCCCCAGCAACTAGCTCAACGTGCAGGACACAGGATGTGCCCCACAGATACCGGATGACTGACTGAGTGAATGACAGTGAGTGGATGGGTGGGTGGATGATGGATGGATGATGGGTGGATGGATGAGTGGATGGATGGATGGGTGGATGGATGGATGGATGGGTGGATGATGGATGGGTGGGTGGATGGATGGATGGATGG